AATATCGTTCAGCCATTGGACAAAGATTTCACACTGATGGGTTATGGAAATAATACGCTAACAGACAGCTTAATGTTTATAATCGTTGTGCAAAGTAATAAGTATAAAACTAAATGAATAGTTACTTTGCTAGTTAATGGTTCTATGTATATATGCATAAAATTTCAGTCCGCCATTTTTAACGAAAAACACCCATCTACAATTCGCATATATAAAATTATGTTGAATGGGGGAGAGGAGAAATGAAAAAGAAAATTTGAAAGAGCAAGACAATAAAATGAAGAAAAAGATTTGAGGAATGGATTCTTTTAATTTAATTTTGCCTGGTTTGTACAAACCAATAACGGAGATCGGTATTACACACAAACCAATATGCAGGAAAACTCGACTTTAAGATTAATGATAGAGACACATTCTTACTCGAGTGTCATATTGCTTGTCAAATACTAGTTTGTCGGCCAGAACTATTTAACACGATTTCTAACTTTGCTACTTAGGCGAGAGAATATTGGGCCTCAAAACTCAAACCCGACCTCAAGTGGAACTCTTATATACGATCCATCGCTAAAGATGCAGATAAAATGATCGGCTCCCTCGAAAAGTTTCCTCGATTTCTATAATCTTAACCTGTTCAAGTCTAGAGTCAACCGTTATCTTCTCTTCCCATCCATATAATAAACTACCTCTTAATCCCTGTACCTCGAGTGACCCCTTGTACTGGGTGGACATTACAGTAAAAAAGAAGAAAAAAAGCCTATCGTTATTGTTGTGGAGTTATTTCGCAGTGGAGGCTTGTATTTGTATTAAATCGGTCTTAAGTAGGTTCGACGTACAAAACGTTAGGAACTTGATATAATAGGTATTACGCAGAGTAATCTTGTTGTGGTCGCTGACTACTTTCGTATTCGACTAACTGTCGACTATTGTCGTCCGACATCTACGCTATTTAGTAACTGCCCCACGCAGTCACATGTAGCACAAGGCCGAATTTAATGTGGGGTTTTCGAGCCCGTAGGATCAGCCTAAAAATCCCCTTAGACTCCGCATAAACGGGATCGGGTCTGTCTACCTCCCCGGACGAAACGCTGCCCTTCGGCATAGCCTCGTCCGGGTTCCTCTCTGTCCAAGGGCAGAGAGTTCGACTGTCGTCCGACATCGACTAGTATTTAGTCACCCCCACGAGGGTATCATGTGGCACAAGGCCGGTTTAACGAGGGATCTCCGAGCCCGTGGGCTCAGCCAAAAATATACCCTTTGAACCCGTATAAACGGGCTCAGGGCCGGTTTACCTCCCCGAACGAGACTCTGCTCTTCGGCATAACCTCGTTCGGGTTCCTCCCCGCCCGAAGGCAGAGAGTTTAACCGTTCAGCCGGTCGTCCGACATCGACTGACCCTCGTTTCTCTTACTTCTCCTACTTATATTAGGTGGTAGAGTCTATTAATGTCTATTATGTGTTTCACCATAACAGTTATAAAGTGCGGTATACAAAGTTTAGACTCCTTAGAAGAACACCTACTACGACGGCAAATAAGATAGAATAACATGCTCTCATGGGTTTAAATAAAGGAATGGATTTTGAAACGTGATCAAATTCGACATTCGCTCAACGGCATCTGAAACAATGTGCACCGTTAAAAAACAATAAAGACTAGGATATTTGTTCAAATATATCACAGGGTCATAGCGACACCTCATTTCAGAGAGTTGGATATATGGGAATATTTTATTAGGATAAATCATACAGATGCATATTTAATATCAGGAATAGTTAAAATAAAGTCAAAATGGCGACGAACGGGGAAGTAAAAGAGGAGGAATCTAAAGCATTTTCGTAGTCGCTGGTGAGAAGAATGGGTAGAAAGGAAGTAGATAAAAAATAGAAGAGAGGGAGGAGTGATTTTTTTTTTGGTCGGCCATATTTTTGAAAATCGAACTTGAGAGTAAGAGGAAGCGGAAAAGAGTGATACAGACACCCACGCATTGATCTGGTGTCGCTTACAAGGTATGGAAGAATCAATGGAATGGTTACCGTTCAGTTTGACAGTTAAATTCCATTGGACCATATATTCGTCAAGAGTGAATTTTAAATTTATTAATCTAAATTTGTTGGCTCTGTCTGTTTGTCAGTCAGTCAGTCATTCTCTCTCTATCTCTCTCTATCTCTCTCTATCTCTCTCTATCAAGGGATACTTAGTCTGAAACAGTGGTACAATGATGGAGCACTTGTAAGAGTGAAAAAAAAATAAAATGATCTCTCCCAAAAATGTATGTATGTATATATGCATGTATGTATATATGTATGAAATATATATATATATATATATATATATATATATATATATATATATATAGATATAGATAGATAGATAGAAAACAGGCAAATTACGGAGACAATATAGCAGAATATTCATATTTATTATAATATCTATCTATCTATCTATCTATCTATCTATCTATCTATCTAGAGAGAGAGAGAGAGAGAGAGAGAGAGAGAGAGAGAGAGAGAGAGAGAGAGAAACAGATAGACAGACAGATAGAGGCAAATTTAGGGACAGAAATCAGTAGAATACCCAGTCATATATACATACATATATACATACATACGGCCGTGCACCGATGACACTGATAATTACAATAATATTTAAACGATCTACCAAAATCAACGTGATAAAGAGAAGATAGAAAAAGGTTTATATGGCTACACAATCAAACTCTGATAGATAGATAGATAGATAGATAGATAGATAGATAGATAGATAGATAGATAGATAGATAGGAAGAATGTTTCAAAAAATGATTCTAGGAAAATGATTCTTTGAAAATGAATTTAATAGTAAAAAATATCACTCTATATAAAGATGGAATGGAAGTTTCGAAAAATAAATGAAAAATTAATAAAAATGACAAAATTGGTTGTCCCATTGAGAAACAACAGCGCAAAGAATATTTCCGCTAGAAATCTTAGACTGAATAATAATAATAATAATAATAATAATAATAATAATAATAATAATTGAATAAATAAAACAAAATAATAGCGGACAATTATAATTTATACTTATATTTAAATGGTGAAAATACAGAAAAATCTTTGTAGCCAAAGTGAAATATCTAAAGTATGACTTGCATCTATTTATCTATCTATGAGTGTATGTGCGTACGTGATTAGACAAATTAGATGGAAGTTTAAATTTTAGATGATTTGCATATATACATATATGTATGTGATTATATTACTATGCATGAATGTGTGTATATTTGATAATGTACTATATACATATGTTTATATAATATCATTACAGACATGTATATGTGTAGGGCTTTTGTTTCGGTGTGTGTAGCGATAATAATTAGCACGTCATTATATAGTTCCTCACAAAAGACAAGACAAATGTTTATATGTGTAAAGCAAAAGCGACAATGTACACGTGTATATATGCATGATATAAATAATGTTTTTACATATTTTTGTACATATAATTAAATTAAATAAATCAAAATCCATTTTCTATCGTGTATTTATTTTCTTGTTACAATAAAAAAAAAGTTGCTCCAGAAACATTTGTGCATTGATAATATATATATATATATATATATATATATGTGTGTGTGTGTGTGTGTGTTGCTGTTTACAGACTAAGTGCATATATATGAATATATAATTTTGATATACATAGGTATACGTGTAAATGGTGTGAATTTGCGTGTATTAAAATCGCCCATTTTTTAAAAAACATTTATGTAGTTTGTATTGACTCAAGTGGAGTTACTCAGAATTGGAATACAATATTTTTCAGAGCAAAAACTTTTTACATTCCCTTCCCTTCATTGTTTTGCTCAAATTATTATGATACTCACCACTAAAAAAAGAAAAAAGAAAACAAAATCTCATTTGATATATATATATATATATATATATATATATATATATATATATATATATATGCGTATAAAATGTACAAATAATCAGTTTAAAAAGACGAAATATATTGAGATCAGAACAAATATGAACAGCCGTTGGAGATATGATTGGACGAAAAAGACATCTCAAACACATTTCAGACGAAAAAATTCTTTAAAAAATCTTGCGAAAAATATTGAATCCTTTTTAATACACAGTTTGTGGACATCCGTATTTTTCCCATACTTTTTTTTTTTTTTTAAAATAAACAATGTACAACAAGAAATTTGTTTTAGTTTTGTTACGGATGTCTATAAATTTTACAAAAGAAAAAAAAATGCGAGAAAATCGACTTTTTATGATGTACATACTTTGTAGTATGCATTCTTCATATCATATGTCAGTTTTGGTTTTTACAGGAGAAAAAAAAATGAGTATTCGTTGGATGAAAGATATATGACATCTATCTTGAATGTGTTATATCCCTATGTTTTGTTACTGCGTTTGTATATAAAAAAAAAACGCGGGCGGAAAATCAGAAAGTTGATTAAGATGTGTGAATAAGTGCAGTTCTATAAATTCTGGATTTGTTGCATTTAAAAGTTTGTTACATTTACATTTATTACATTAAAAAATTAAATAAAATAGGCCTGCATTAATTTAATAAGCAAATTACGATCCGCGCCCTCAAATTCGTGCAGTAGTTAAAGAAAGTGAATGACATTGTCAGCGTATCACCAAAGTTGATTTTAATAGTGTGAATATGCCTCATAAGTTTATAAGTTAGTAAGACAAAAATACACACAGCCATAGAGAGAGAGAGAGAGAGAGAGAGAGAGAGAATAAAGAGAGAGAGAGAAAAGAGAGAGAGAGAGATGGAAAGAGAAAGAGATAAGAAGAAGAGACAATGAAGAAGAAAGAGAAAGAGTCAAAGAGGAAAAATAACCAATACCTTATGGAATAGGGACGTGACAATGAAGTCTGCTGAGAATAATGTCACAAGTAAATGGTTCCTTAACAAGGCTAATTAAAGGCCTAGCAAGTGCGCACCTTGTTTCTTTGACTATAGTCGTTCTAAATTAACTACAATTATTGAGGACATATCACTTTGAAATACTGGTTCTCATATGATTACCGAAGTTAAGCAACGTTGAGCCTGGTCAGTACCTAGATGATGTGTGACCGCTTGGTAATACAGGGAGCTGTATGCTTGGATGTGCGGCTGATGTAATGGGTAAACACACGGAATTGAAAGTCATAGAGCCGAGTTCCAATTCCAGTCGGGTTCGTTATATTCACGTACGCACAAATACTATTGGGAAAGGTATGGACCTACCTCATCTCCCCCAGCTATGGGTTAATTAGTAGAACTTGTATTAGTAAATCATTATTATCTAAAAATCCTCTTACAGTATAAAATTAGTTTCTGACTTTAAATAGCCCGCAAAGGGTTGATAAGCCATAGAAAAAGAATGAATGAATGAATCAGTCAATACAATTATTGAGATTTGAGAAAATTCTTAGAAAATGAGTTGTTCATGATAGTGAATGTTAATGATTATTATATTTTATTATGAAATAAAATCAAATAATGTTTATGAAAGTTAATACTATAAATAAAAGGAATAAAAGTTGATTCTAAAATCGGACACTATAAATATAATAAAAAATCATGGAATAAAACTTTCAATTATTATCAAAATTGATGTTTCTTTGAGTTTTTTTTTTGTCAAAGCTGAAATCATTTTGATTTATACAGGTACATTTATGTCTGCTTTCTGACGAATAAGAATAATTGATTCTTAACATTAAGTAGAGTTGTTAATTAGCTAATTATTGGATATCACTATCAAGTCCTTCGCTGAAATCCTCTAATCAGGCACAACCTGCGTAATTGCTAGGCGTTTATTTGGAATAACCTTGTTCCTTAAAAAAAAAAAAATCTAAAAGACAGAAGCAAACTAAGTTTGGTATTAAAGAAAGATATCAAAAAAGAAAAAGAAAGAATCTTGAAATTATTTTCCTAGTAACGATATTAACAACTAACGTATTAACGTACGCTGCCAATTTTCTAAGATGAGGGACATAATAAGCGAATGATTAGTTGTGGAAGTTAGTACAAAAATAATAATCATAAAGTTGAATGAGAACAGAATAATAAGGTTGATGCAAAAAAAAAAAAAAAAGAAAAAAGACAAAAAGAAAAGAAAATTTAGAGAGATGAATGGTAATAGGTTGTTCAGAAAATATGTTTTACTTTTATTTTAGGATAAACATTTTAATTGTGTTATATTATTAAAATAGTTGCACAAAATATATTATTAATTCCGTAGTAAAGATGCAGAAACAGCATTCAAAGATTTCTTAGCGATCAAACCTTTAGTGTTTTATCGTCAAGGCATAAATAAACTTGTAACTCGATGGTAGAAATGTATCAGGATTCCTATTTTGATTGATTAAAACATTTTTTAAATACATTAAATCAGGAATAAAAGTTGATTCTAAAATCGGACACTATTTTTTGGAGCAGCATAATAACAATATTAAGGATGCGTGGGTAATGAAATGGACATCGGCGTGGCTGATGGAATCTGGGAGACGGCCTTAAAATCCGATCTAGTGTTTTCTTTCACTTTCACACAAATAAGTGAATTTATAAATCCGTTTCTTATACCCCCCAACCCAGTTGTGGGTTAAATAGCAGAATAGACTGGACTTTCAAGCCTTAGGAGGCAAACAGTCTAAGAGAATGAAAACTTTGAATTCCAAAACACGGAGAAGGCAAAATGAAATCACTTCACTATCTTTGCCAAGAATGCATGGCGAAAATAAAGAAAAGGAATCTGTGGAGAGCCATGATCGCCTACATCATGAAGGGACATGGCATTAAAAAAATAACAAAAATAAGATGACACGAGTAGATAAAGCAATGATGCAGAGAAGAACAGGCAATAATAATAATAATAATAATAATAATAATAATAATAATAATAATGTTTCTCCCGGAATTTGAGCCTAAACATTATTTCTCGGCATTTGGATTTCGAAAATATTAAAATTCGAAATGGAAGGGATATGCCGGTAGCGTAATGGGCAGAAATTGTAATCGGCAAGATAAGTTCAAATTCTTAGTTTGTTACATTTATACTCGTATAGGAAAGGCATGGATCTGTCTCTTCCTACTCCCAGCTATGGGTTAAATAACAAGATAGATTGCGAAAGATATAAAAGTTCAGGGATTAAAAAAAGAAAAAGGAATATGTGGAGAGCCATAATCACCTACGTTATGAAGGAATATGGCATTAAAACATATATTATATATAATGATATGATAAAAGCGTTTGTTGTTGGAAAACGCCATACTGAAAGTCTCATAATATTGATTGGTCCATGATATCAGTTCCGACAAGATCGTGGACCCACTGAATACTTGGTTAAAGCCGAGTGACAGTGTCAGTGTAAGAGACAGGGTGAATTTTTGGATTTTATAAATTTGATGATACATTAAAAATTGATAGATATTTGTGCGTATATATCTGGTTATTTGTAATAATAATAATAATAATAATAATAATAATAATAATAATAATAATAATATACGCATGCGTAAATAAAGAGACGGCTGTTAAGAGGAGGTAACATCCACGGTTCCTCGTGTTTTGTAAGGCTGCTTCATACGTCAAAAACGTAAACACAAAATGGCATATATACTTTGCTGTATTTTAGTAATACATAAATTTAAACTATGGGGTGGTATGTTTACCTTAAATGGTGGAATTTTACTGTGAGTTAAAACATGTGAAGTTTGCACGCTACCGATCAAAAAGAAGTCTATGGTGTATTGGCATTTTTAATTAAGCAGACAACTGCATGAATGGAGATATTTTCTCTCAGGAGACATTTCAGCAATTTCATTTAAAAAACAGAGAACTCTGTTTTAGATTTTGGATAATAAATAAATAAATTTAATAAATTAATATATATTTGCATATATATATATATAAATATAAATAAATAAGACCTTTGAGAAAACACTACTAGATGAAAGTTAGAAGTAATGGTGATTAAGGCTTTTTCATATATTCGGGATTAACACATTCACGACAGATAAATAGTAGAAAAAATAAATAAATAAAAAGAATTTTTTTTTTACTTATGCCTAGTGATGGGATTCATAAATTCCATTACTCATATTTTCTAAAATGACCTAATTCCGCTGGATCGGTTCTTAAATTTTCATGGCCATTGACAAAAAATTAGGGCTGTTAAAAAAATGAAAAACAGAACCGATTTCTAAGGTTACAGACAGAAAAATCTGCGATGTAAAAGAAGAGAAAATATGTTCGTAAAAAATTGGAATCCCACCACAGCTTGTGTCCTATAATAATTGTTATATATAATGCATAAAATGTATTTGCAAATGTAACAAGTATTATCGGGTATAGGCAGTAAAATAAAATAAAAATAATATTTAAAAGTTCCAACCTCAAAAATTTGTAAAAAAAATTTCCCCTCGCTTTATAATATGAATAAACCTTATTTCTAAATTATTGTTAAAAATTTTCGTTGAAAAATTTGAAAGACAAATAGATTAATTTATATAAAGGTAAAGCAGTTGATAAAGTTTTAACGATGATAACCTTCATCTTCTTTTTTTTACTCTTTTAATCAAATCCAGTAAGTTGTTAGATAATGTTATCGTCTAGAGTTCTGCTGAGAAAACTAGAAATATCCTTCTCGATTGATTGTTAATGTCATTTACAACGCTTCTTGAAAGAATCAATTGTTGCCTGGCTCTTCTCCGCTTTGAAAATAATATATGATTGAAATATTTCAAAAAAGGTTTATTCATAGTATGAGGCTGTTTAAAAAATTAAGGGAAAAGTAAGAAAAACAAAAGTGAAAGAAAAAAAGAAATTATATATTCCTTTTTTTCTGGAAAAAAAAATGGATTCTTGGTTGCTTGTTGCATATCTGCTTGCTAAGTAAAAATAGTGATGTCTAGTCATTTGATTATGATAAAAAATTACATAATAGGCACTTCATTGGTGCTAGTTGTAAAAAATGACATCATTTTTGTTGAGATTATCGCGAACAAGACATTTTTTTAAATTTAATATCTGTGTGTATGCGTATCTTTGTTAGTTTTATCTATCTATCTATCTATCTATCTATCTATCTATCTATCTATCTATCTATCTGTAAAAGTTCAATAGATAAGTCTTTTGAAATTGTATTTATACATTAATTATTGTTGATCTATTTTATAACACTGAGTACCTTACAAAAATCTGCTCACATTTAAACACAATAAACTTCAATAATTTAATTGCCGACATGTTTCCTTAAGCGTTACTGATATATATATATATATATATATATATATATATATATATTATGAGAAAGATTTTAATAATTGCTCCTGAATAAAAATATTATTCAATACGTCAGCTTTACAACTTGGCATTTCGTTATGTATTTGAGTTAAGTACGTGTGCGTATCTTGAATGTAAGTACACCCATTATTTGACAAGTGAAGCCATTTTAATATGAAAAGAATCAAAACCACTAGGCCTCACGCTCACATTCACACGTACAACAATGGATGTATTTAAATACAAAAGGACTGAATAGAATGAATTCATTTTTATTCTATTTTTTGAAGACGAAGTTTTTTTTTCTTTTCTCCTTGTCAATTTTAACGTGCCTATGTTTCTGGTGCGAAGTGGTGTAACGATAAGCAAGACGTAATCGACGATGAGAGTTCGATTTCTAGTTGAGGCTGTATTAGTATTAGCATTAAAGTTCTTGAGGAAAGCATGGATGCCCATCTCCTTGCACTTCCTTTTATCGACGAATATTTTCACAAAATATCTTGCCTTGGGACTCTTTGATATTTGACGGATATATATATATATATATATATATATATATATATATATATATATATATATATATATATATAAATTAGGAGATCAGCCAGACACACTACTTTGGTTTCAACCTTTCGGTATCCTCAGGATATATAGGGCCTACTCTAAATCAATTGAACTCTGACCAATAACTGTTTTATAATTGTAGCATATATATATATATATATATATATATATATATATATATATATATATATATATATATATATAACAGTGGTGGTTTCTTGGTGTGAATTAAAATGGGTAGACGGAACTGTTCGAAAACCATTGATGGTT